CACACACACACACACACACACACACACACACACACACACACACACACACACACACAAACGATTACTCAATGTTGTTTATTCTTCATACCTGTGGCTTTGAAAGCAGAAGTACATCTCGATGAAGGCCACTGAGCCACCAGTGGTCTTGGTCTTCGAGATATGACCCATCACTCCATCTCATTACCTGGACAGCCACAACATTGGGAGTCGACGTTTCCAAACCATGGCAGTGTGTGCTTATCTCGAACTCTGCTGGCAGCCGGCTATCCTGGCTGGAAAAGCAAATGAGCAAGCATAACAACGTCATGAAAAAAGATGATGGTAAATTGTAAATCCAATCCTCAGTTATTCAAGCAAAATTCCCCAGTCCAGCTACGGGTGGTAAATTGTAAATCCAATCCTCAGTTATTCAAGCAAAATTCCCAGTCCAGCTGCGGGTTCAATTTTGTGGACCAGAGCGGACGGTTTTCAAATGCTCTTCATTGTAATATGCATGTGTCTGACGAAGTGACTAGTCATCCCAACATCGGCCTTGTCTGTGGATTGAAAGCAGAATACTAAGGACACAAAGAAGTGGTCTAAAAGGGCTAATTAGTAATTACTAATTAGTAATTACCATCAATGGATGAGAGTGGAGAAAGGGGCCTATATCCATTTTTTTTTTTTTAATTATATCCAGAAATATCTATCTGTCCTATAATCTGAAGTAAGTTGTCGCATTTGAAAGTTACTTGAACCTCTTACCGCAGAGGCTTATCCATCCATAGCCTGCTCTCCTTAGAAAACCGGTGCAGTGCTGATGACAAGAAGACTCCTACTTTCAACGAGGCTTACTATACAGTGGGGGTTAGGGCATATTCACACTAGGGGGTTTCTCGAGTGAACTTGCACACAGGAAAGGTCCGATACATCCAGGAAAGTCCGACACAAGTGTCATTTTTTATCCCCTTTAGCATACCCCCAGTCGTATTAGTAGTTATTACCCAGCTGGCTCATCCACAAACGGCAAAACGCCAAGCCCAAAAGGCATCTACAGTTGTACCTTATAAGTTATAACCCATTTGGCTTATCCGCAAAGGCAAAACAACCAGTCCCATGTCAGCAGTCCCACCACTTTTGGGCCCCAACTAACACAGGTCCCATCTCAGCCACATGTCCCAGAAGACCCATGAAGTTCCATGTCCCAAGCGATTTACTAAGTTCCCAGCCACAAGTTACAGGTACAACATCCCAATCCCAAGTCATTTACCCAGTTCCCAAGTCCCAAGTCCCCGCCCCAAGCTACAGATTCCAACCTTTAGAAGTCTGAAACTCCAAGTCCCAAACCCAAGTCCCAAGTCCCAGCTTCCCACCAGCACTATTCCCAATTTCCAAGTCCCAAGTCCCAGTCCCCAACTTTCCCAGTTCCAAGACTCGAAGTCCCCATTGCAAGTCCCAAGCGCCCACAGCTCACATGTCATACATTCCATGGGACCTAGGTGCCAGAGCTCTTGTACTTTGCATACCCTGAGTTCCGAGTTCCGAGTTCCGAGTTCCGAGTTCAGCTCCGTGGTCCCAGTTCCACATTCAGAGTTCCCAGTTCCTAGCTCAGCTGTAAGTTATGAGTCCGAACTTCCATGTGCCAAGGCTCCTTGGTCCGTCCACTTCCCAAGTCCCACAGTCCCAAGTAACAGACCTCTGGTCCCCAGGTCCCGGGTTTCAACTATTGAAGTGTGAAAGACCTGAGAGCTTCGAGTCCCAATCACACACTCTCGCTGCAGTTCTGTGCGGGCGCTGAGATGGCGCTGCTATCATTGGGGTTGCTGGTCAGATTGGCACGTTGTGACAGCTGTGGGGTTACTGCAGCTACGGCAGCCATAGCCAGGGGTATGAGGTGGCGAGGAGGAAGAAGAAGACTCCTGCATACTTCGTTGAACACTTGTTTTTGGTTGTTCGGGGTTGTTGTAAATGCGGTTGGGCGCTGCCATTTTCCACCAAACAGTATCTGGACTGAAAGTTGCCCCAAATACAGCTATAGATTGTAGTCAAACCTTCAAATCTCAAAAGCTATCCTTGGGAGGAGTGTATGCGTTCAGCCGGTACAACTGAATGGGGAGCACCTCTCTTTTTGGCCAAATGCATGGAACCATTCCCACCAGATGAATGATACTAACTTTTACTAAGCCTTGAAAATGATTCACAAATAGTGTTTTCAATTTCATTCCAATAATAATAACAAGTTCACAACTACCGAAGATGACTGTCAAAGGCCGCCTCCACATTCATGTAATTCAAACCTCAGAAAAAAGGATTCTTTTCGTATGCCCCTGAAATATTCGTTCACGTGCGTTCTGCCCCTCAATTTTCAATTTTCCACCTGATTTCTCCTTAGTCATGAGTCATGTCAGCATTCTCACTTCTGATATCTCCAGCTCTCCAGCTGTTTTCACAAACAGCCTTCTTCAACTTACAGAATGTTCCGCTACGGACCCTGAAGACCAATTGTTTGGCAAACAATAGCACTTTTGTGTACAGCAGCGTGTCTTGCTGCGTGCCTGGAGAGGGCCAAGAGGCGTCTGCAACATTGATTTTGTTTGGTCTCGTCACTTCAGTGAACCACATGAGCCCCGATCCAGCTTACACTGGCATGCCCCTCCGACCTGAAATCTTTTCAGTAGGCTCCTGACAGAGGGCGGGGCAACTTTGAGGCATGCCCCCATACCGGTAGGTGCAAATCCCGAACTCCAGTCCAAGATCCAAAGAGAAGGGGCAAATCCCAAATTCTGGTCCGAGCTCCAAACGCGTATATGTACAGAGGCATCCAGCAAAGTTGAACAAGTACCGGTAGGGGCATACTGGAAAATGTCAGCCCCAAACATCCAGGATATTTCAGCAAACTTGATCTGCTGTCAGAGGGGCAGGCCAGTGTAAGCTGACTTTTTGAAGAGCAAAACGTGAATAAATGCACCTTAGAGGCCCATGCCGAAAAATTTCCCAAAAAACAAACCTTGAACAAAGTTTCGCCTCTCAACAAAMAAAATACTCCAGTAGAGGGAAAAACAARACWGGCCAAAAAAAAAAAAAAAAAAAAAAAAAAARRAWMCCCCCTCACCTGTAGCCCACAAAAGTCCCATTGACCCAGACATAGAATGCTGAGTCCACTGCTTCAAATACAAGAAATAACTTTTCACCTGCAGTTATCAGCCAGCCAGCAAAATCAGGGGAAAAAGAAAAGGAAAGTTAAAAAAGAAAAGGCACAAACATAAAAGAAGAAAGAAAAAAAGACAGGTGCAATACAATCTGAAGAGCTGGACTCGGTGGTAGTTTGGTTACTAATGCAACGTAATTTATAGTACCTGCCTCTGAATTTCCACACACCATTCCCAGTCCAGTATTCCAAACCGGGCGGGTCCCATACCATTCTCAGTCCCATATTCCCAACCTCAATTGGTTCCTATCTCGACAATTCTTCAAGAAGTGGGCCCATTCAAAACCCTATTCAGCCGGCGGCTTGGCTATACTAATGCGACGCCATTTTAGTACCTGCCTCCGAAATTTCCACAGTACCCCAACCGGATCCCATACCATTCCCAATCCCATAATCCCAACCGGGCCCAATACACATTCCCAGCCCCGCGTTCCCAACCTCGATTGGTTCCCATCTCGATTCTTCAAGAAGTGGGCCCATTCAAAACCCTATTCAGCCGGCAGTCCTACTACCCGCACCCCCTTTCTCCAACCAGTAAGCTGGTCGACTCAAGTTTGCCACTCCGGCTTGGAGTATGCTCACACAAAGCCCTCAAAATCGCAGAATTGCAAAATCAGCGCCCAGATCGAGTCCTTTCCTTTTTTCACAAGGACCCGATCTGGCCGCTGATTGTGCGATTCTGTGATGTCGACAGCCTAGGTTGAGTATGCCTTCCCTCTTTCTGACAAAATCCAGCAGTGATCTGCCAAATACAGACAGAATCCGGTAGCCTACTAGCCTTCAAGCCTCAGTTGTCTTTCTAATGTCAAGTGGGACCATTCTTTTGTCCCTTCCTCATGTGCGCAAGGCTCGGATTCTGTACAGGGCGCTGGTTACCGCTGCATTTTGTTATTTTCCTGAGCATCGGGAAAAAAAAACTAACTGGTAGTCCTGCACAGTACGGAACTTCAGTTCAAAAAAAAAAAAAAAAAAGAAAAAACGTACGGGACTTCAGTTCCTTACCCTCTCTCACTGCTCCCAGACATCCACTTTGCTTTTTCGCTTTTTGATTTTTTGCTTTGCACCTGCAGACAACTACTTCAGGCTCATGCTTGATCCACAGTTCGAATCCCAGAGACTCCCACATCCCCTTGTCTTGAACTGTCTGCTTCAGCATCAGATTCAGGTTATATATCGTCGAAAAGAGCTGCCCGGTAAACCGTAGGCAGAGAGGGAGAGGAGGGCAACAAACGAGGGGCTGGGACAAACTGTTTCGTCGGAGTTTCACCGACTCATCAGGAGGCTGAACCCTCAACAGTCTGCAGAATCCTCTAACTGATTACACTGTAAGTGATAATTCACCTTAACTCCGGCTGTGGTTAAGCATCAACGACTGCCCGAGAACTGATACCCTGAGGTGGGCACCAACCACTGCCCTCAGGTTATATATGTAGTGATGCATTCTACCATGGCCAACTTCTCCTTTGATTTCCTCCTCAGTCTCTTTGGTGTTCTTTTTTCCGGAACAAAAAACGACAGGTATCCGTCGGCCAAACACCCCATAGTAGCTAGCCCCCAATCTGCTCCCAAATTTTGCAGAAGACAGACTCCATTAAAAAAACACAGGATATAGGCTAATGGGGGGGTGCTGGTCGTCTTTCCCATAGGAAACCTATCTCCTGCTTCAGCACTCGTCGTGTCGCATTCAGGTACGTATCATCCCGGAGTAGCCGACTCCCAAGTAGATCAACTCCTTAAACCACCAGTACCTTTCCCCGCTTGAAAAACAAATATGCGGCTCGTTTACCGCCGCGGCTTTCGGGAAGCACTGGGGTGCCATTTCGCTGGATATCCATCCAGGCAAGACAGGCCTCACATGCGACTCGTTTTGTCGGACCTGGATGGATGTCCAGCAAAACGGCGCCCTGGTACTTTCCCAGAGTCATGGCGGCTGTGTACGTGCCACGACTCTGAAAAAGTACCTGGGAAAGGTACTGGTTGTTTAACATCTTGCTTTCCAAAACCCGCTCCTCTACCCCTTCTTGGCACATCAGCTCTCCTTTCCTATCCTTATCTCGAAACCACTCAATGACCTTCAGCTGAGCTGCGGATTTCTAATGGAAATCCCTGTTACTTTGCAGACTGAACATTGTATTAGTTCAATGCTTCAGCGACCCTTCGTCACGCACACACCTCCATCCTTCGCACACCAAAGGACTGAGAGTAGGCGCTTTTCAAGCTGCTGCGCCCACCGTGGCAACATTAGCAGCCATTGGAACGACTTTAGGACCCGCTTAGCTGGAACCTTGAAAATTCTTTGGTCTTTGATAGAACATAGGCCCTATACCACTTCCAAATTTCCTCAAACTCCTTCTCCTTGTATTGTTGCTCATAATTGGTGTTTCCACTTCATCTTCCCCAGTTACTTCAAAAAAAGGGATTCCGCCTCCCAACTTTCTCGAACTTCTTCTTCTTGTCTTGCTGCTCCGCACTTACGTGTTTCCACTTCATCTTCCCCAGTCTTGCTCCTCCACGCTTAAGTGTTTCCACTTCATCTAATTTAAGGTTATCTAAGAACATCTCCCCAGAGTCCCCACATTCCATTTCCGTACCTCTTTGGGCACATGATCAGAGTTTCCTTCGCGTTACAGTCTAAACAAAGTGGGATATGTACTACCGTCTTCCCCCCGAACATAACGCACCCTGATAATGAAGGTATACAGACTATCTGTCCGTCCAGACACTCAAAACGAGGGTGCGTTGTGTCCGGGGGAAGACGGTAGTCGTTCGACATCCCTCCTATCCTTCGAATGCCTCCCTCATTGCTCACCCTTCTTTCTCCCACCTTCAGCACATTTTCACGTCTGTCTTGCTTACCTCAGCCTTCAATTCGAACCACGACAAAGCACTACTGTCTTCACCCGAACAGAACAGCCAGTCATTATGGCTGCATTTGGGCCAACTTTCAGACCGGATGCAGCAACAATGACCGGGCATTTTATTCCGGTGAAGACGGTAGCTACTACATTCTGCACTTCCGTTTTGCAAGCACATTGCATTCCTTCAACATAAACTCCTAGCATTACGTACAAGAACATTATCCTGCTCAAGTTATCAAATTCTACGCTCAACATAACCCTCCACTTTAGGGTTTAGGGTAAAGCAAGCATGTGGGTAGGGTAGGCTGCCTCAAACTGTTGCAGAAACGCGGTGGTTGCGTAATAGCTTGCGCAATAGTTGTGACCGTGGTAAGGTTCTTTTTGCAAATCACAAGCAAGCCCGCTGCCCATTACACTGAATGCATCGAATAAATTCGGATGATTAGAGCATCCACCACGCACTCTGTTCTTGCAAATTCTATGCAGAGCATCCACCTTGCTTATTCTCTCATCATATATCTAATACCTATTTTGTTAACTGTCTTCTCAACTTCAGTCCAAAAATTCTGAAGTCGCATGGTTTAATAATTCCTAGCAGCTGTTCACTTGTCATTTTCTTTGAAAAACCATCACGGGCTGCAAAGAAACCTCGTAACGCATCCCATGTTTTTGCATACAGATCCTTCTTCGGACATTCAAGATACCAGTTTTCGTTGCTTCTGTTACAGACTAGAGTACGACTTCGGGCAGGGTCACACGAGGAACTTTCGTGCATGTATCAGATCGCAATTACAGACAGATGACTATGTGTGTGAACATGTGTTTTGTTCTTTTTGCCCACTCTTTACATAGTCGTCCAATGTACAACGCATGAGGATTGCCGCACATGTGCGAGGAGGGCAGGGAGGGAGGAGACAGAGGGAGGA